TACCCTAAATAGTAGGATCCTAATTATAAGGACCCCCAAATAAGGCACCCCGAATTTGCGGGAGCTCCCATAAAGCATTGTAAAGCATCTAGTAGGAGAGTAGGTAACCTTTTACTTTTTTGGGTAGTACAGTCACTACATAACCCTTGTAAAACCAAAAAAGGTGCACCTTTAGTTCCCCATGATACCCGAGAAGTAGGAGCACCTATTGCCTCACCCCAAATAGGATCCTTACTCTACGGACCCCAAAATAGTATAAGGTACCCCTAATTTGCAGAAACTCCCATAAAGCATTGTAAAACGGTTGATGATATAAATCCTGCATGACCCATGGTGAGGAATATACCATAATTCCCATAGTTTAGGGTCCTTAAGGTAATGCAGGGTTTATATCATCAACAGTATTGAGGCCCCTATCATGCCATGTTTGGACTTCTCTAAGAACTTCAGTGCTGCAACGCGGCGCTCTCCCTGCTGCTACCCGGCACCTTTTGCATAGCATCAACAGAGGCACCTTTTGCCTCGATTCCCAGGTCTGATGGCTACTACATGCCGCAGGACCTCCCGGAGGCCTGAGGGCCCGCAGCTTTAGGGTAGGGGCCTTAGTTTGGGGTTTAGGGTTAAGGGTTAAGGGTTTAGGGTTTGGAGTTTAGGGTTTGGGTTTAGGGTTTGGGGTTTAGGGTTTGGGGTTTAGGGTTTGGGGTTTAGGGTTTAGGGTCTTAAGGGCTCCTTAAAGGGTTCTTTAAAGGGATCTATAAGGGATCCATGGGGGGTTTAGGGTAGTTAAACGATCATGGGACTTAGTAACTTATAGAGGGTTCCTTGAAGGGCTCCTTAAAAGGATCCTTAAAGGGATCCATGGGGGGTTTACCGGTTTACGGTTTAAGGATCATGGGACGTAGTAGCTAGGATTATTATTGGGGGAACCATACTTATAGCCCCAATTAGGTTACCTATAACCTTGCTTTCTAAGTCCCATGATCCTCCAAGTAGGGGCCTTAATACTTACCTATACTATTTCGGTGGGGTGTCCTTATTACAACTATAGACCATAGTGTAGTGGGCCCCAAAACCCTGTTCTAATTTTTCAAGGCCCCTATATTTGGTTTCAAGGTTTAAGGCAGTTTACGGGTTAAAGTCGAGTGTTTAGGGCTTGGCATCCAAAGCGTCTTTGGACTGGAGCTTGTAGGTTATCCAACACGTTATGCAAGTTTCAGGGTGTTTGGGGTTTTGGGGCTCTAAGACTTTTCTGGTGGACGTACGGTTGATGATAGAAATCCTGCATTACCCATAATAAGGCATATACCATAATTCCCATAGTTTAGGGTCCTTAAGGTAATGCAGGATTTATATCATCAACCGTATGCTTCAGGGTTTTTGCGTTGCTGGGGCTTCGGGAGTTTTTGGGTTCTTTGTGGGTTTCCAGGTTCGGGGCCTAGGGCTTAGGGTTTAGGGTTTAGGGTTTAGGGTTTAGGGTTTTGGGGTTTAGGGTTTAGGGTTTAGGGTTTTGGGGTTTAGGGTTTAGGGTTTAGGGTTTCAGAGCTTGAAATTCAGGGTGACTGGCACTGATATGCAGTCTGTGAAGTGGGCATGCCATCGACCAGCCCGTTCTGTAGGTGACTGGAGTAGTACTGCAGGGGCCTAAATAAGTGCCTATACTATTTTGAGGGTTCCTTATTGTTGCTATAGTAGAATATACCCCAAAACCCTATTCTTATTATTAAGGCCCCTGCAGTAAGTTATAGATGTCTTTTGTACATGTGTATGTCGTACGTATTCTTTGAGGATGCATATGTCGTCCTTCGTTTCGCTCTTCGTCGACAGGCTTTAGCCCGCATCACCCCAAAACCCTATTCCAATTATCAAGGCCCCTTATATCAGGATGCTTTTTCGAACTGCTACCCTGAGCTCTGCTGAGCCCCACAGCCAACAAACATGAGTCAATTCGCGACCCCTGCAACCAGCTGTAATATAGGGGCCTTAACAGTTAGAATAGGGTTTGAGGGTATCTTAAACTATAGCCATAATCAGGAACCCCACGAAAAGCTTGCTACGGGCGTTGTTTGGGATGCCGGTAGAAGTGTTATAGGGGCCTAAATAATTACCTTGCCGGGTTCCTTATTATAACTATGGTATACTACACCCCCCCCCACACACCCTCTGTTCTAAGTATTAATGCTCCTGTAGCAGGCTTGGGATTTCGCGGCTTCCCTGCTTTAGGATCCAAATGTTTGGGGCATCCAACAAGGCGGCTCCTCATTCTCTGTCTATGTCACATCGATGGGGCTCGTATGTTGTATAAGTCTCCCCGCCCCCTTGGCGCCAGTTTCAAGGGCTGCCTTTGGGCTGTGGGATTCTCTTGCCCGCACTTTTTCAAGTTGCTGCTTGTGGGCATAATACTCTGGCTTGGGATCCAATGGGCTGGCAGTAGGCTTCGGCTTTGTGCCTCAGATCCGGTCCACAGCCTAGTCAGGCGTTACTTCGAGTTTTGCATCAGGCTCGCTGGGATAAGGATTGGAGTCGACTCTGGACCTTCGGGTTTGGTCTTTGGGTCGTCGACTTCGTCTCTTACCTTGCTTCTACGGCCACGCCCCTAGCTCTACTTCATTCCGTACAACAGAGCGTGACCGCTGCTGCAATCAGCGTCCAAGTGCTGCCTGGCTCTCTTGCCGCGTGCCTTCTACTGTGGGCCCTTTTGCGAGCCCTTGGGTTTAGCTCGCATCGGATTCCGCAACTCCCTGCTGCCCAGGCACAGGCAATTTTGGTGTTCAGCTGCATTGGCCGGACTGCATGCATAATCCCGGCTGCCAGGACTTCCAAACGACTTCCACAGGTACGTAGGTGTAGGTCGGGCAATCGAGGAGCCACATGGCAGGTTTTCTGGGCTGTGGTTCTAGGGTGTTTGCCTACGCCGGCCTCTTCTATGCATTCAGGCGCCTCGGCCTTCGCCCCACTCTTGCCATTCGCATTGCTCCCCTGGCATGTTTCGGCCATGGAGTCTGGTACACTTGGCAGTACCATGGACACGGGCACTGGCCCTCCTCTAGGAGACCCGACAGCTTCCTCTGCCGCAGCAATCACCCCAGGTGATATCGTATTTGTGCACAATACTGATGCAGAAGAGGCACTGTGGCCAGTGCGAGGACAACCCCAAGGCCACAACTCCGCTCCGCTACCACTGCCTACCTTCCATCGCCTCCCTCTGGCGTTTGGTGTCGGTGACTTGGGGCCCAGCGTGTTAGGGCTAATCGTTCATGCTCCGCATTTTCAGAGTACACACTGGGCCCTACACATTGACAGATCTGCCGGTGTGTCGTCACTGCAAGCTGCCGTGCTATCTTTAGGACCCGCGCTTTACAATGGGATATTTGACCGTGCAGTCCCAGTGCGTCCCCAACGCTACGGTGTGTATGCAGAGATGCTTGCCTTTCCAAGCGTGCTGTCTTCTCTTGGAGAACATGGCCATGTGCCTGTCATGGTCGACTTAACTAGGGTAGGCGGGGATTATTTCCCCACGGTTCTCCCTAATGGTATCGGCCTTTCTGACCTCGAAGCCTTCCTGTTACAGGGCTGACCTTGACGTTTTCCGCTTGTTTGTTGGGCTCAGTGTACAGCCTTGCGAACCAGACACTCCCATTGGTCTGACTCCAGGGGACACGATACTCGCCCTAGCTCCAGGTCTTGCAGGACATGTTCCTGCCTAATGCCGAGTGGGGACCTTTGCATCACATCCCCGTAGAAACACAGACACCAGGGGTCTGTTTGTACTTTGAAAGCGATCGGTATGTTATGTTGCCACACCATATGTACGGCAGGACAGTGCTTGATGCAACTGAGGAAATTCTGCGTATCGATCGTCGACATCTTACCACCCATTGTACTACAGCAATTCCCGACCTTGATGTGCAAGGCACTCCTTGCACCTCCGTGGTACAGGTCGTGCGCCTCCCGAGGTTTCGAGTGTCGGATCATGCCACTAATCTGCGAAGGGATATTTTCGTTCTATGCGATTTTAGGCCTTTTGGAGTAAGGCCACTCTCATGGCACGCGCATTCCCTCACGGTGCACATTCCCAGCGTCCTCGTGCTGGCACAGCTCCGAATCCCTGATGGCTTCCGCCTGCACATAGTTGGGGGTTTAGTCATAGGCGATGAAGTGCAGGTCTACGGCAGCACCACGCTTGTCTTTTCAGCATTCCCGCAGACCGTCGCCACCGTTGATCCAGACGGGGGCGCGCCTCCCCCTGACGATGATGACCCCGATGAGGATGGTCCTGATGAGGATCACGATTCTGGGAATTCTGATTCGGATGGTGAATCCACAGCCGCTTCGGACCCAGGCCTCATGCTTCCTCCAGGTTCAGCACACTTTCCCCTTGCTCCGTCGGAGTCCAGTGCCCCTCGCCCTCCGAGTCCTGATGCTTCCTGTGTCAAGGTTGTCATCTCACCGGACGCCACACAGGACACATTACTCTTTAAGGCTAGTTCGATAGCGTGGAGTCCAAGTTATTGTTGCGCTGCCCCTGCCTTGGAGGGTTGCTTGTCACTTTGTTGCTTTGCGGTCGCCCGCCTATGGACAGGGTCAGGGCCGCCTTACGCCCATCTCCCTATTGCTTCCAAAGGCCCGGATATGAGACGTCTGATCTATGATCGCACACCCGAAGCTGAAGACCCCATACGTGAGGCACCAGAGACTGCTGCCAACTGGGCAGGTCCTCATGCGCCTACTCACCCGGACCCAGCCACTTATTTTGCTGACCGTCCGCCCGGTGCCCCACAGAATGAGGATGCACAACTGTTGGATGTAGCTTTCCTGGTTTTTACTCCAGGGCACGAGGTTGACCAGGTTGTGATCCAGATAAATGTTCCTTCCAGGGTTGACATTGCCCTTGCAAGCAGGCCGGGACCCTGCCCATCAGGAACGCTACCCCTTGCTAATTCCCGTCGATCCGCAGCCAAGCCCAGCATTTGCGTCTGTAATTGCGCTCCCGGCGTGGGCAGATGGCATACCAGTTGTCTTATGTGACTGCCGCCTGGCAGGAGGCTCCATTTATGCGCTCAATCTCGCCGACAATTTGCCGCGAGGACCTCCTTGTTGCAGCGGGCTACAGCCGCGACGCACGCATGCACATTTTTGCCAGCCAACACTATTGGGCACTAGCGAGGGGCCAGACCGTTCAGTTCCGAACAGGACAGAGCTTTGCAATTGTGCCCTACGGTGTCCACCATGCGCATGGAACAGACCTTGTTACCATGCTTGAACGTACGGACGGCTGGGACTTGGATGCTTCGGTGCCCGAGCAGGACGACTTACGCTTCTGGGTCCTAGCAGACACCACTTCAGCAAGTGTTCCAGCTCCAGACCGGCCCAGTTTGCAATTACGCCGGGTGCTGTCAGACCTTCTGGAGTGCCCGCCACAGGCGCTCACCATCAGAGCCACCGACCCGCGCATATCCGACTACAGCTCGCAGGGACGCAGACACTGTGCCGTTCTTGTTGCTACACAGACTATACAGCGACCGCCGCCAAGGCCACCTATCAGGCCTATTGTTGTCCTTGATCTCAGGCCGCTTTTGCAGGAACTAGAATGGTTCCGCCCCCTCACTAATGTGATCACACTGCAGCCCCTCCTCGATCGCTTCCAGGACGGATGCCCTCCCGGCTACACAGTCTCGGTCAAGGGAGGCCACCTCGAGGCTCCGGAAGGCAACCCCCAAATCCGTCTTGTTGATGGACAGGTCCTAGTCATCGAATTTTTGGAGGATTTCTTCGAAGAGGCTCCTATCCTCCATGTAGACGAGTTGGATGTCGACGAAGATACTGCCTCCGAAGGGGACCATCCAGCGCAGGACACACTCAGTGTCAGAAGCCGCTCTCCTCGTCGCCCTCCTGAGGCTGCCCCAGGGATCAAAGGTCACCACTCGGAAGCATCCGAACCCTCCGCGATCAATGTCTCCGTTGTTACTTGTCAGCGCGACAGTCACTTTTGTGTCTCTGGTCCGAAGGGGTTGATTCCGATAGATTTTAGTGCAGACGGTTGTTGGCGCCTCCCTCTGTGCTGCGCCCTCCCTAAGCGCTGCCGCCTTGCAGAGTGTGCACCTCAGTTGCTTTCCCCCCAGTCAAGTGTCGCACATGCACCCCTTTCACACATGCTTCGGCCAGCCTGGCAACCTTGCGCTGGCGGCACTTCCCTTCCCGGTCTGGTGTGGCGCTTGTTAATCGAGCCGACTTGTGCAGGGCCTGCGGAGCGCTCTGCCTTGCAAAGCCTACGACAGACCACCTTAGACTTTGGAGGGACTTGGCCCTACATCGAAGCTCCAAATGGCCCCAGGCCACCTGGTGCAGGCAGCTGGTCAGAAACTGCCAGCACTGATTCTGAAGACGAGTGGCTCTGGGTTTGCTTTGCAGTACTTGTACCAGGCCACGCTCCGGATACTCGCATGCTGCAACTCAGGTTTCCAGCCACTATTGGCGAAGCGGTTGCCACCGTTCAGCGAGCTAGGCCTGCAACAGCCTTGCACAGTTACCCACACCTCCTCGAAGCGTCGCCTCAGCCTGTCCAAGGCCACGGCGTCTTTCTGGGCGGTCCTGTCTGGTCAGATGCCTCCCTCATTGCTTGCTTTGATCTTTCTCAGATAAGGGGATGTGTCTTTGCCGCACGGGTCCCGCCGTATTGTGACAGGTACATTTTCATGCAGACTGCTCACCTTCCGCTTGATCTGCAAGTGGACATCTACGTCGGTTTTTATGAAGACCCTCTTGAGGACGGAGTAGAGGTGCACATGTTTCCTGGGGAAACTGTCTGCTTTCGTTGGCCGGCGCGTCCCCGAGGCGCTGTCACGTCCTTGACCCAAATGCTGCTCGATTCTGCCTCGTGGCGACACACTCCGCCCTTCCCAATGCAAGAGCCGGAGGGCGCATATTGTGTTGTTGCCGACGCAGGCGAGAAGTTGCTCCAGACAAACACCACTGCGCCTACCAGGTACAGGCGGGAGATAGCCCCTGTCGTTGAACTTCCTTCTGCTGGCCTGGCTATCTTCCCTGCGCAACCTAGAGTCCGGGATGCCGCTATTGCACGGGTCACGTGTCGTACTGTGCTCGCTGTCTCTAGCCAACCAGATGGTGCCGCAGATACTTGGCACCTCGCGCTTTTAGATTGTAGGGTGCTCTTGACCGGTTGGCAGTCTCTCGAAGTCCATCGCGGCCTTTTCTCGGCCTGGGATCTCTTGGAGAGTTTGCGCCACGCCGTGCCAGCAGGATGGCTGCCACATCTTGATGTCGATCCTGACGCGCAGGGATTCCTTCCCTTGCGGCCCGGCCATGTCCTTCGTCTGGGCCTTCACCGGGATATACCCGCACCCCTCGGTCCCGCAGCCGATGTGCTTGCTCAAGCTGTGTATGCTATCGATACGGAAGGGGCTCCAGGTGTTGCTGCCCCTTTCGTTGTGTATGTGCCCGAACGCACTGCTGACTTCCTTGAAGTCGTTCTGACCCCTGGTTGCGCTGTTGACACAGCCCTGGCTCAGGTTAACGCTTGCCGGGATACAGCAGCACTCCTCTACTTTCCTGGTCTTGTTGAGGTCTTCCCACAGCCTGACCTGACCTATTGCGCGGTCCTTGCTGTCACACCCTGGCAGCCACCTGGTTCATTTGTGCTTTTTGACTGCCGTTTCTGGGACGACAGAGCGTTTGCAGCAGTCGTGCCAGCACGCGTCACACGCAGGACCTTGTTGGCTATTGCTCAGATAGACCCTGCTGCTCACTCTTGGGTTTATGTGCGTGATTTTCCGTGGCCGCTGTCTGATGACCAAGCTGTGCGTCTAGCGCACGGAGACCCAGCCATGATCACGTCTACTTTGAGCGACATGCTACAACAGACCGAGGATTGGCCAGCCGGGTTGCCACCGGGACATTTTGACAACAGAGTATGGGTCCTCTGTGACCCGGAGCCCTTTCCCCTACTGTCCCCGAGAGAAGACTATCGTCTGAACAGTCGGAGTATTGCCATTGAACTTGAGGTCGATGAAGACTGTTTGGTCCTGCAGCCTCCGCAGAATATCCTCTGGGACCACGTTAATGTGGGTCGGGCCTCCGGTGATGTCCTAGCGGTTCATGTAAGAGATAGCCACGAAGTAGGACCCGCCCCAGTCGTCTTCATCGTAGATCGCCGGCCCATCTTCTTGGGCCTTGCAAGCGAAGTTGCGACAGACGGCTGTTTTGATGTTGCTTCATTCGTTCGGCGATTTCAGGGATCATGCCCTCCTGGTTGTGACATCTGCCTTCGCACTCGGGAGACACATGAGGCTCTTCCTTTAGGGGATTATGCTGTTAGTCCGGGTGAGGTCATAGTGGTGTCCTTTCAACCCGTTCGGTCGCTCCCCTCACCAGCGGGGACCTCCCACGTCGTAGAAAGCATCGATGGTGAAGATCCCACGGACGGCTCCTTCTTTGCACATGGCCATGAAGGAGCTGACCCCGAACCCCGTGCTACGCCAGGGGATGGGGCTGACCCACGGTCCGGGTCTACGTTCGCAGGTCGTACTGCACAGCATGCTTTCAGCACTTTGGTAATGCCCTGCCGATACGAGCCTTTTGATGCAGCAATACGACAGGACGTCCCAGCCCAGGTAACACCGTCCCTAGCAGCCTCCAGTCGAGTAGTCATGCGAGCCCCCAGCTCTTGCTTCTACCGAAGCCTCTGTTCGCTTGCCTCTGTCCTCCTGGGCTTCAGTGTGTTACACATTGTCGGGCCCTCCTGTGTTGGAACCGTTCTTATTCTGTGCTGCCATACACTACGGCCGGGCCGTGGCCCGCCTAGCCTGCTCACGCTCAGCCTCCTTGCGATGTACATTGTTGTTCCGACTCGTGCTACGATTGTACCCTCTCCTTCTGAGATAGACCACCACGCTGCCGACCGCCCATGCTTGATGCCCCCTAGTAGGCAGGCTTGCAGGCCAGGGCCACGACCCATCCCTACGCCATGTCGAGTGCGGAACCCTCGCCTGACGGGAGATATGTCGGGCACAACTAGGTCTGGAGGAGACAATATAGGACCTACGCTTCTAGAAGAAAGTCTCCGCTCTGCTGGCAATCAGGCCTTCTTCGAAGCTGCTACCCTCCTCGAGGTCTTGGCAGAGCACCTAGGCGCCCACCCCCGGGATGGTTGTACTGCTGATGTCGACCCGGCGCACCTTGGCGGCCGACAGCTCAGTGCACCCCGAACCATATGTTTGCAGCAACAGGTACCGCTTACTCCTTTCCAAACCAGTGCGGTACAACTCAGTGACATGCTGCCAAAAGCCGCTCCAGCCGACCAGCCCGACTGGCTGGACTCGGATCTCCGCTCTCTCATCTCCGACAGCTGCGTTCCGAAGCACAAAAGAACGTTATTTTCGCAGATCCCTATTTGGCGTGATGCCCACACCACTGGAAGCCCTGAAGGCATCCTGGTGTACTCCGACGGGTCTACTGTTGCTGACTCACAACGTTCCCATGATTGTGCACCGGGTGCATGGGCAATTTCAGTTTGGGTTCGCAACTGTGGAGTTTCTTACCTACTCGGGCACGCCTGTGGTACTACAAGGCCTCCCGATGACCCCTACCACCTAGGCGAAATAGGGGATAGCCCTCTCACTTGTGAGACGCTTGGAGTAGCCTGGGGTCTAATATGGGTCATCGAATTTGCTCCCGCTTGGAATGTGCCGGTTTGCTGCATGTACGACTGCCTCTCGGCGGGCAGGGGCACCTTCGCAGAGGCCCGTACCGCAGACTCCTCCGGCGCTGAGGAGGGTCTTTCCACATATGCCACGTACTTGAGACAGCTTGCCTCTCAGCGTGTGCGCCTAGACCATGATTATGTACCCGGGCATGCCGGCGATGTCGCTAACGAGTTGTGCGACGAGTTAGCTAAACGGTGTCGAAGACACCTGCCCACCGCCGACCAGTTATTGCTCCCTGATTGGCCAGCTCGTGTCTACGGCCATCCTTTGAAGGCATGGATCTGGCTCACAGGTCACGGCACCCACGACCTTCCTACCTTGTTCTCCATGGAGGCCGAGGCCTTCCGGATGCAACAAGCCCCAGGTTACCCACCGGCGATCCCACCATGGGGTTTGTGCCTAACACTCAGTCCGAGGAGCCAGTCGCTATCAAGGGCGTCCTCCTGTCTTTCAACGTACTTTCTATGTACGACCCCAAGAGCACTGGCGGAACTAGCCATGGCCCTGGTATGCGTGTTACAGCCAAACGTGACATTCTGAAAAGGCAGCTGGAGCATCTTCAGGCTTTCCTCTTTGGCATCCAGGAAACCAGGCTCGTCAACACCCAGGTGCTGCCAGACAAAGACTTTCTCATGTATCATTCGGCCGCTGAACCTAGCGGCCACCACGGCGTCGCACTGTGGGTTTCTAAGACCGTACCGTATGCGACTGTTGACGGCAGGCATCTGACAGTCCGACCGGACCATGTGACAGTCACGGGCTTTTCACCCCGACATATCACGGTGCAGATATCCACGCCTTTCCTGACCTGGACAGTGCTCACCGCACATGCACCATCGGAACCTCCTGCTACACCTGGATCGGCTGATGCCTTTTGGGCGCGATGTCGTCATGACCTTTCTAGGAGGCCTAAGGGATCGGATGTTATTGTCTTAGCAGACGCCAATGCATGGCTCGGTAGCCAGCCCTCTACCGCTGTCTCCACACTTGGGGCTGAAGTTGAGAACGTGGCTGGCCAGAGCTTTCACCAATTTCTCTCTGACCAGGAACTGTGGGTACCATCTACTTTTGCTCAGTGTCATGACGGACCTACTGCCACGTGCACGGCTCCTTCAGGCCACCAGCGCAGGCTAGACTATATAGCCAGAGGCAGTACGCTCCTGGGTCCAGGTAGATTTTGAGGCGCTGCAGGTACACCAGGATCATAGTCCTGTGGGACTTCGCCTGGAGTACGCGCAGAAGCCCAAGTCCGTGCACAGAGGCCCAGGCTCTTTTGCCCGAAGGGCCATCAGGCCGCACCTGGCAGCCTCACCTGCATACCGTGCCGGCCTATCGGGTGCTATCCAGAGCCCCGCGAATGCCTGGGACAGCCACATTGATGCCCATTACCAGGCTCTCGTGACAAATTGGGGCTATGCCGCGTCCTCACTTCGGGCGCCCACCCAAGCACGTCCTGTTCAGGAGTACATCCGGCCGGCTACCCTTACTCTGGTGCATTCCCGCCGAGGCTTACGCGAATACCTCTGGACACAGCGACGTGAGCAGCGTCGTCGTTTGCTCCTACTAGGTTTCGCTGCACTTCTTCACAGCCGCCAGGGCACTACTTTCCCTCCACAAGCCGTTGCGCGGTACAGCCACTGGACGCATGAGACTCGATGCAATATTGCACAGGTTTCGGACAGGATCCATCAAGTCGGGCTCGAGTTACGGTTGGCCGTTCGCCAGGACCGTGCCGATTATTTGGCAGGTCTGGTAAAGGATATCTCCCTGTCCGATCTTCGAAATCCCAAGTCACTTTATAGAGCAGTGCGGAAGGCCTTTCCCGCAGCAGCGTCCAAGCGACGTCAGTCGTTCCAGCCCCTTCCCGCTGTTCAGGGCCCGGATGGCGTTCTGGCTACAGACTCTGCACAGCGTCGGGAGCTATGGCGGGCCCACTTTGCCTCCCTGGAGGATGGTGAGAAGCTTGAGCCAGGAGCCTATTCGCATGCCCTGGCCGTGCAAAAGGCCGACAATCGTCTGGACGCCCCGGCCTTTGCGATAGGAGTCGTGCCTTCCCTCTCCAGCATTGAACAAATAGTTTTGGGGCTCAAACGGGGAAAAGCTTGCGGCCAAGACGGGGTCACAGCTGAGTTGCTCAGAGCCAGTCCCGCTCTTTCGGCACGTGCCCTGTTACCAGTCTTCGTCGAGAGCGTTTTGGCTGCCCAAGAGCCCCTGGAGTTCAGAGGAGGCACTCTCATGCCTTTGGCGAAGAAGGCCTCCGCGGCCTTCTCTTGTTCCAAGTTCAGGCCATTTTACTTTCGTGTGTGCCCAGCAAAATCCTGCATAAGCATTTGCGACAGTGTCTGAGCACGCATATCCGACCATGCGAATTACAGGCCGGTGTGCTCCCAGGGGTCAGCACGGAATCAATTGCCCTTGCTGCCAGAGCATTCCAGTCCTGGGCACACTCCCGAGGAATGACATGGGCCTTACTGTTTTTCGATGTGCGCTCGGCGTTCTACTGCGTGATTCGCCAGCTTCTCCTCCCCGTTGGAGATAGCGGTAAGGCACTCTTGGCGTTATTCCACCGACTGCACATACCCCCCACAGCCTTGCATGAGCTCCGCGACCATCTCGCCGGTCTGGCGACAATTCCCGCCTCCAGCTGTGGTCAGCACCTGCAAAAAGTTGCGGTTGATGTTCTTCAGGGAACGTGGTTTAGACTCGACCAAGACAGTGCGATTACCCTCACGCACTGCGGGACGAGGCCAGGAGACGGGCTGGCCGATCTCCTGTTCGGCTTCGCATTTAGCGCCTATTTACGCTCTGCCGACCAAGCCCTGCAAGCAGCCGATCTTGCCACTCCTGCACCGGCCAGATGCCAGACGGAGCCATGGGACACCTCCGAAGCTGCAGCTTACCTAGGCTGTGGCTCTTGGGCCGACGACTATGTGCACCTGCATGCCCAAGCAGGTTGCCGAGGGCTTGGGGATCGGGTCCAGCGGATAGTGTCGGCCTACGTTGGACAAGCAGATGCCATAGGGATGAGCCTCACGTTTGCTTCGGACAAAACGGCCGCCTTGCTACAGTCCCAGTCTGCCAGTCGTGATGGTGCATGGCCCGGCCTCAAGACGACCAGGGTCCCTACCTGCCTGTCCGCAGCCCCGTCAGCGGCACTGAACACCGACTGCCCATAGTCGAAGTGTACTGTCACCTCGGTGGCATCGTCACTGCCACCCTTAACCCAGGACCCGAAGTCGGGCCGCGTTACTCACTCGCGGCCAATACGGTCCGCACGTTGCGACGCAAGCTTTTCGGGTCGCACCTTGTGCCCCTGGAGACCCGACGAGCTTTACTGCGCTCTCTCGCGCTCTCCAAGTTTGTCTTTGGCAGCTCGGTTCTGCGCTTTGGCTCCACTCTTCACCTGCGGACCTGGTCCAGGCACTATATCACCCTTTGGCGGGCCCTCATCCCTTACCGCCCAGGGGAGAAAACTCCACACGCTTATGCTGTCCTTAAACGGGCCGACGCCCCGTCTCCTCCAATTGCCCTTGCCCTCGCCAGGTCAGTGTTGTTACGCCAAGTCGTCACGCGCGGGCCGCACGTGCTCCTCCGCTTGCTGTGGGCGCAGTTCGAGTCCGATTCCAAACACTCCTGGCTTGCGCTGATTGCAGGCGATGTGCACCACATCGCGCAATACTTGCCTGCGGCACGAGTACTAGCCGAGACGCGCTCACCGATCCGTGCCCTCCTGGAGGCGGTCTCGGAGGAGCCCAGCTGGTGGACTCGCCAGATCAAGAAGGCTGCCAAGTTGTGCGCCGAGGATCTCAGCCGATGGCACGAGCCACCCCCTTCCTCTCTGCCAGCACCCAGGGACGCTGATGACCCTGTGACCTCGCCTGCCGAGGTGCCCGCTCCGGGAGCCTTTACTTTGTGCGGGGCCACCTTCAGCCTTCGCAAGCACCTTTCCGTGGATCTTTCTAGGAGACATGGAATCATCGCCATCACTAGACGACTTGCCCCGACGTCAGGTTGTCTGGCATGTCATAAGCAATTTGGTTCGGTCGAAAGGGTTCAATATCACCTAAAGAGCTCTCCTACCTGCCTCCGCAGAGTTGCTCGACTGATCCCGCCTATGACACTCGAAGAAGTCCGTTCCGCAGAGCGGGACTTCAAGGATAGAGCTCGTAAGGTTACTCGGGGACGATGGGAGCTTTACGAAGCTCCTAGGGCGGTCGCTATCGCGGCAGGACCCCCTCTCCTCAGCGCACAGGAACGGGCAGAGGCGGAAGGAGAGGATATGCCGCTTTCGATCCTTTCACGGCTGTTTCACCCGTGCCCCGTTTTCCTCCAAGAAGTCGAGGATTACATCGCTGGTCGCTCCACTGAAGGCCCGCGCCTTAGTGCCGCAGGCTTCTGGGATCGCAGGCCACGCGATGCTCTTTCAGTTTCACACGCATGACGAATTCGTTTTCTAGTGGACGCGCCCTAGCGGCACCAGAGTCCGAGAGCAAGCAAGTATACTATTTTGAGGGTTCCTTATTGTTGCTATAGTAGAATATACCCCAAAACCCTATTCTTATTATTAAGGCCCCTGCAGTAAGTTATAGATGTCTTTTGTACATGTGTATGTCGTACGTATTCTTTGAGGATGCATATGTCGTCCTTCGTTTCGCTCTTCGTCGACAGGCTTTAGCCCGCATCACCCCAAAACCCTATTCCAATTATCAAGGCCCCTTATATCAGGATGCTTTTTCGAACTGCTACCCTGAGCTCTGCTGAGCCCCACAGCCAACAAACATGAGTCAATTCGCGACCCCTGCAACCAGCTGTAATATAGGGGCCTTAACAGTTAGAATAGGGTTTGAGGGTATCTTAAACTATAGCCATAATCAGGAACCCCACGAAAAGCTCCGAACCTTTAGGCAGCTATGCTACGGGCGTTGTTTGGGATGCCGGTAGAAGTGTTATAGGGGCCTAAATAATTACCTTGCCGGGTTCCTTATTATAACTATGGTATACTACACCCCCCCCCACACACACTCTCTGTTCTAAGTATTAATGCTCCTGTAGCAGGCTTGGGATTTCGCGGGCTCCCTGCTTTAGGATCCAAATGTTTGGGGCATCCAACAAGGCGGCTCCTCATTCTCTGTTAGGAAGACTTGGGGTGTTCCCGGACCCCCTAAAAGACTCTTAAATGGAGCCCTTATGGCCCTTAATAGTGGGTCTTTGGGGCATAATAGATGGTAGTTGGGGGAGTCTAGGGGTTGTTAGGGACCCTAAGACTCCATGTACTCATATAGTAGGTACTTAGGCCTTAAAGCTGTCCCCTTATGGGTACTTGAAGGCCTAAGTACCTACAAAATGGGTACATGACATGGAGCCTTTGGGGAAGACCTGGGGATTTCAGGGTGTAGGGTTTAAGGTGAGGGGTTAAGGGGGGGGGGTTAGAAGCCCGAAACCATGTTGTCAAACCCTCTTGTCCAAACATCATGCACTGTCATGTTAAAGGAAACCATAAACCTAAGACTCCCCAAGTGCCCTTTAATGTACCCCAAAGGCCCACTATTACGGGTCACAAGGACTCAATTAAAGGGCACTTGGGAGGTCCTGGAAGGGACCCTTGAGGAACCCCTCCTCTTAGTTCTTGCCCGGATCTTGCGGCGCAGGGCCCAGACTACGACTTTGGCCGAGGGGAGGATGGCGTGGATGCTGAAAGGGCTCATGGTGGTCAGGCGCGCTTTAGGGTCTGAGGGTCACGGGTCTCAGGGTATTAGGGCTCGGGTCTTCTGCTTCTTGGGATGGGCAAGTATTTGGGTCTTAAGGTGGTTTAGGGCATTAGTATGTTAGGGTCTTACGATCTCAGGGTGGTTCAGACTTTGGGGTTTAGAGGGCTTACCGTGGCTTACACTTAGAGCTTCAAGTTTGAGTTAAGGGCCAGGAGCTCGGAGGGATACTGTTTCGGGCTTAAGAGGCGGTCCCGATTTAGGGAAGTGATGTTTAGGGTTTAGGGTCTACCTGGACCCTGAAGAACCTTCCTTTTTCGGGTTCCCTAAATATGATTTCCTTATAGCAAAGGTAGGTTCTTGAGGGTTAAGGTAGAGTTGGGAGGTTCCCAAAATAGAGGACCCTAATGTAGTACCCCAAATAGTCGGATCCTTATTATAAGGACCCCCCAAAATAAGGTACCCCGAATTTTCGGAATCTCTAAACCCTAAACCCTTTGTAGAACCCTTATGGATCCCTTTAGGGAACCCTTATAGATCCCTTTAAAGGTGCCCCTACTTTTCGGAACCTCCCAGTTGAGGGATTACCGACTTCGGGTTCCCAGGGACTCCAATATCCCTTAATTAAGGAATATTCCTTAAATCATTCCTTAAAGGGATCTATAGGGTTCCTTAAAGGGATCTAGAGGTTTCCTTAAAGGGATCTATAGGGTTCCTTAAAGGGCTCTTAAATCATATGAGGGGTCTTCGGGCTTAGATTCCCCCAAGTTGTTTGGGATGTTGCGAGAGTGGGGGATTCCGAAGGGTTGTGTTTAAGCCGTGGTCACTGCAGCATGCGGGGAGCAGCTTCCCTCTGTAGATACTTTAGGGGCATTAAGAATCACCTGTGCTCTTTCGGTAGTTCGTTATTATAACTACAGTATAACATACCCAAAACCCTACTTTAATCTTTAAGGCCCCTATATGCAGCCAGGATCACTGCAGCATCCGGAGCCCTTTCTCTAGATGGATAGTTTGTGCAACTTCACGCTTGATCTGTCTGCTGTGCACGTTCCCATAGCCACTAGCAGCCATATAGATGTCCCAGGTATCACGACATAAGCCCACCGAATTTTCAAATCCTTAAGACCCCCATGCTAACCCTATACGGCCCTTGCCTTGTGAATTCTGAAGGCTCTAGCCCCCGGAACACGTTTCGTTCTTTGAACACTTGCAGAAGATAGAGCTTTATTGTTCAAAGAAAAACAACATGACAAAATGACTTAGAGAACTAAGTCCAATTTTGATTTGTTGTTTTAGGGCTTTCCTTTTACACTGCCCATTTTATTGAACCCATTTATACATGCTGTAAACCAGTTGAAGAATACATTCGTCCGTTGCAGCTTGACCTCTCGAAGGGGCAGGAAGCCCTGAATCGGGCGAGAGTTTTATTTGAAATAGGGGGGCGGGCCGGATGCTTGTACCTCAGTCTCTCGCTGGGAGGTCTTGATGAAGTGAATCTTCTGCTTGAGTGTGTCTTGAGCTTTGAGCTTACAGTATCCTGCTCAACTTGCAGAGTGATCTCGCGGTTGCCTACTTAGCTGGAGCTTTGGTGATTTTTAGGTGTGTGACCGACGCACTGGCCTGTGATTCAGGAGTATGCAATCACCTGAAGTGACCGGCGGAGAAGCAGAGGCGCCGACACCCTCGGATTCGTTTACATCCACTGAGAGCTTTGTGTTGCACCACATGCGTGGGTTACAGATCCAGATCAGTCGGCTGCATAGAATGCAGCTCATGCTTGCTGACCGCCTTTTCGATCGCGTGTCGCGGTTGGAGTCTCAGCAGATGCTAGTTTCTTGCTTTCTTCATTGGAAGTTTCGGGCTGGCCGCAATTCTGATCCGGAGCCTGTTCCTCGAGGATTGCTGGAACCTCAGCTCCAGTAGTGAGACTTTGCATGGCATGTCTCTTGCTCAGAGGAAGAGAAAGGCGGGCGAGGCAAACTTGCCCTGGGATACGCCTCCGGGATATATCTTCAGGATGCAGGTGGTCGTTACTGACCGCCTAACCGGATATATGACCATCACGCTCGATATTCAGCTGAGTTGCAGAGATATTATCGATCAAGCGAAGTACTTAGTGTCGCAACGTCTTGTCGAGCTTTTTGGTCGCTTCCCTAAGTTGAGCTCTTTTCAATTGGTCCAGGATGGCAGGCACCTGAGTTTTTCAGCTCCAGTGCTAGTGGCCAACACGTTGTCACCTGTGAGATTCGTTCGCACCGCCTAAAAGTCTGAGTTGAGTGTTTGTTTGATTGCGGTAACATGCTGATTGTGTTGCTGCTGTTGGATTGCAAGCGAGTACCGGAGGCCGTTCAAGATGTTGCACGTGTTTGTAGCCGTTTGCTTCTCAGGCATTGGTGTGTAATGGCGGATGCTGTAGGGACGGATGAGGCCGATGACCGTTCTTGGTCGTCGTGGAGCTCAGCCTTTGAGCCACAGCAACCGGAGCCTCCCCTCCCGTCCGTGAAGAAGCGTAAGAAGAAGAAGAAGACAAGGAAGGCCGGGAAGGCCTCTCGTATAAGAGGCATAAGGCACGGCGGGTAAGTCCCGCGCCTGATTCGGACAGTTCGGCTATCGAGGCCAGGACGGAAGTCCTACAGGAGGTGGGGGCTCGACAGCCAACAGTGTCGGCTACGGCTTCGTCGGGGGAGCTCAGGCTACCCCTTGATGGTGATACTGCTACTGAGGACTTGCTTGACATCGATTCGCAGTCTGCAGGTACTTATACGGTGGAGGATCACACTGAGGCAGTCATGCACCATGCTAGGCGGGCTCGTGGAAATCCCAAGGCCGCCGCTAAAATGCGTGCGGGCCCAACTTAGATGCAGCTGTCATTTTACATATGTTCATGAATGTGCTGCCCGAGCGGCACGGCGACTGCCTGGTTGAGGGCGCTTTTTCCCGAGTTGCTCGGCCTACGCGCTGATATGTGACCGTCAGGCTTCGGTACTTCTGCCAACTGACTTATGCTGCACTGATGTCGGCTATGAAAGTACATTTTCGTCTGAGCATCGAGTCAGCTGTGTATTGACATCGTTGTGTGTTGCGGCGCTCAGGTCGGGACGCCTGCGTGCAGAGACAGCGCTCGGGACCTCGAGCGAAAACATGCGCAAGAGCGCTTTCGATGTGAGTGTGTACGCCAGAGGTTGCGTGCGTGCAGAGGCACCTTCGTACGTGACGTTTGTCTGCCAATCCCTTTTGGCCCAAAAAAAAAAGATTCAGAGCAGCAAGCAAGGCAGGAGCCTGGTGCTGGGTGTTTGATAAGGCGCCGAAGCGCTTGACAGAATCTCGGAGGGCTGGAGCCCGGTTTCAGCTACGTGCTGAGTGTGTGACGCGGGGATGTTTCCCTGGCCAATGGGACCGATGGGGCCGATGATGCCCCCATTCGGTAGTGAGAGGCGTCGGCGCCGTCGGCGCTCCCCCTCGAGTAGCTCTGAGCGCTCGAGGAGCAGAAACCGTGATCGCAGACGCGACCGGGAATCAAGATCGGGGGGAGCGCGAGCTGCTGCGCCTTTTCCCCCGCCAGTGCCTCAGCTGCCGGCAGCAGCGCCGGGATATGAATGGAGGCAAGTACCAGTGGTGCCGGTGCAGCCACCTTTGCCGCCTCCCTCGACACCTGCCCCGATTGCCCCTGCTGTGCATGTGCCTCAGCAGCAGACTACTTGGAATCGCCAGCCCTGGCGCGGAGGAGGCCAGCAGAAGCAGGGCCAATGGAACAAGCGCTGGAACCAGTGGCATCGGTCCAGCCAGGGGTCGGGTGAGCCTCGAGGGTCGGGCCGTCAGTCCTCTTGGACGGATCCAGACCACCACAACATTCAGGAGGCCACTCCGTCTGAAGTGGCCGCGGCCGACGCCCGTAGGGCTGCCAAAGAGGTTGATCAGGACGAGGCCGACGCTTCGTCGTCTTCGCAGCTCTGTGGAAGTCGGCGGAGGATCAAGCGCGCGCAGACCCCACTCGCCCATTGTCAGCTCGGGAACTGGCAGAGCAGGGAAAACTGCAGTGGTGGTGGAAGATGCCTTGGAAGGCCATCGCCGAGAAGTTCCCCGACACGGCCGCATACAAGGAATTCTTGGAAGGACTTGAAGGTCCGATACCGGCCTCTGTGATATCCCGAGTGGCCACGGTCCTTGCTGCCTTTCGGGCTTACGGCCGCCCCCTCGAGGGGGAGAATCCTGTGGCGGGCGTCGTCGGACCCGATGCTCACATTTTTCGGGTGCCTGGGCAACGAATTTTGATCTTATCCTGCGAATTGCGCGGGCCAAGCTATATCCGCAATCCGAACTCGGAACACTCTGCTATCATGGCTCATGGTACCTCTTTCCCATCTTTAGTCGGCGTAGCGGAGATAGGGGAGATCGCAGTGAACGATTATCGCGATCAGGGAATTCCCTGCTTCGGCTTTTCGGCACGAGGTTCATTGGTCGGACTGTCGCGAGATGCACTGGAAAGTGCAGCGACAAAATGCGCGAGTCGGGCTAAAGCCCTGGGTGGTGCGATTATCCTCGTAGAGTGCGAGTTGCCACGGGGCACCCCCTCTGAGGGGGGGAACGAAATGATGCAGATCTGTTGCCGGGACGCTGGCTCGGTCAGGTCGGGGGATCACTTTTTGATCTCCCCAAAACACGCGATTATGAGAGGAATCGCAGTAGGGTGGCCGTGCTAAGCGGCGTTATCCCTGCAGATGTGAGCAGTTTTGACCGGCGGGAATCGCGACATGAAAAGGGGGTCAGACTTGAGTGGTATCTGCTACGCTTAGTGTCTTTTGTGAGGGGAGATTTCTAACGGCAGCAGTCCCCCTCTTGCAACTTGTTGCTTACGTATTGGTCGGTTCAAGTTTTGACCGTTTTGGCGGGGCGTAGTTCCCGACAGGGTTCCTCGCGATGTCTGGCCACGACCCTAGAGCGAGTGAGAATGAAGTGTTCATGCGAAGCCTCACTCATGCTCGGTCGTCGCTGCCTCGGCAGCCTTGGGAACAGCCGGCTATGCTGTGCATATTTGATCCATTGAAGGCGGCTTTCCCTCAGGGCTTGAATTTGCCTTATCAGGGAGTGGTCCCTGCGTCGCCTGTCCCTCAGACGGCAGCACAGCCTTCAGATCCCGGAAATTCGGTGACGAGTGGATCTCATTGTCAGGCATGGACTCGTGCAGTCAAGGCAAAAAGAGGGCCTAGGGCCGCGGATCGTCGTGAAGAGGCGTACCGCCGGGTCCTCACATTACTTCATGCCTTTTCGAGTTTCTTTGACCTGTGTACTTTGATGGCGGATGACGAGGAGGACGGCCCGGATTCTGTTCAGGCAGTTTTGGCAGGGAAATCACCGAATACCATCTTGAAGCATGTGGGTCCGGTTCGTACTTTTTGCGAGTGGCTTTTGAAAGCAAGTCATACTCCGCCTTTTGCGGAGAAAGTCTTGTGGTCTTTCATCCATTGTGTCCTCAAGATGCCTAAGACCGCGGCCACCACACTGGACAGTAGTCTGCGTGCTATCAAGTGGAGTTATTATACCTTGGGACTACGTGTTCAACTAGAGGTCTTCAGCAGCCCTCGCATTCATGGTGTGGTGAAAAAGGCGCTACAGACTAAAAACCCGTGGTGCCCGGCGTCGCCCCTCAAGGTGTCCGAAGTTCTCCAGTTGCACGCGATCTGTTGTGATCGCGATATTTCTGTCATTGATAGATGCGGGGCGGCACATTTCCTTGCTATGCTCTACGCGAGGGCGCGAGCATCGGACATCCGGTGTGTCAAAAGTATCTTGATAGACGTGCACAACGAAGACTGGAGTTCGGGCTTCATTGAACTAGGGACGCTTGAACACAAGACGTCTAGGCTGGACACTCAACGACGCCGCATACTGCCTCTGGTGATTCCCGGCCAGGGTATTGCTAAAACGCCTTTTGGTCAACTCCTCCTGGACATTAGGGCTGAGGCTGGTTTGCCGAACGATCAGGCGGATGTCCCATTCTTGCCGGCACCTCTGCCGGATGGACCTTGGTCTTCATTCAGACCCGTTGTCTAGCAGCGAGATTACCAGGTGGCTGAGGTATCTACTGCCACGTCCATCGACGGAACAGGCTGTGAGTTCGCACTCATTGAAGGTTACCTCACTTGTTTGGTGTAGCAAATTCGGGATGCTTCGCGAGACCAAGCGAGTTCTAGGCCATCACGCGGATGCAGCGACTGGCAGTGATGCAGTTTATGGGCGTGAGTTGCAGAGCGCGGCACTACGTGAGTACGTTGTCGTACTGGATGCAGTGGCGACGGGTAAGTTCCTGCCGGACCAGACTCGTTCGGGTCATTTCTCATCAGGTTGGACTCGGGAGTCCATCCTGCAGGCGGCTGCTTTTCCACAGGACTCGGAAGTCCTGCAGGCGGCTGTGGAGGACGACCAAGATGAGGCTTTGGCTGTGGTTTCTGATGTTTCAGACTCTGATGAAGAAGCCCCGGAGGAACAATCCTTCTGGGCTCATCCGACTAGCCAGGTCCTACATCGCACGACTTTGGGGTCGGCAATGTTTTTGTGTGGCCGAGCTGTTGGCGATCATTATCGGCGCATTCCTATGGCTCGGGCGCAAGCGCACCCGCAATGTGCCAAGTGTTTCCCACGGAGCGCAGTTTGATTTCTTAGCCTGCTCGAAAAGCCAACAGCTGTCCTAGTATAGTGCTCGGTGTGCATTGTGAGAGCTGCGTCCTCGCTAGCTTTTTCGGTTGCCAGGTACTTAGCCATGACGAGTTCCGTAGATTCGGCGCCTTTCTTTGTGCAGCGAGCGGATGAAATCTCGCTTGCCAAGCGAGTAGTGGATGCCTTGAAAGGTAAAGGGGTCACCACTTTGGCCCAGCTGGCCTTCTGTGTCGGACAACCGGGACAGGTGCTATCTCAGACTGAGTTTGACACGTGGAGCGAGGCCATGTTGGTAGGCATCACGGTGGGCGAGAAGGCGTCTCTGAGGCGCCTGATCTTGGAAGCTCAGACCATGCTAGTGGCTTCTTTGAAGGATCTGGCAGAACCTGCTGAACACGCTTCCCCTAAAAAGGTGGGTGTAGCCGAGCGGAATGCTCGCATGGATCAGCTTCGGACTCAGCTCGCCGGAGTTTCGCTCACTGGACAGCTTGAGCCGAGTCATGCATTACTTGACATGGCCGTTCAGCAGCGGGAGAGTCGCTGCCTGAAGTACATTGGTCCAGAGAAGTGTCATAGCCGCGAGGATGAGGTTCAGAACGTTAAGCCTTTGACCACCAGTCTCTCCTTGGAAGGCGGTAAGCTGAAGGTTACGGAGGCTGCTGGTATGGATGATCGTGACATTGAGGGCTCTTTGCAGGTCCTTAATGCCCTGCGCCGCAGAGGAGTGGCTTACGCATTTGCTCGCTTGATCAGTTGGGAAAGACATGAAGCTTATGTTTCTTCCTTATTCAGGTATTTGACCAAGCCCGCTCAGCCTGGTTACAGGAAGGTGTCTCTTCGTCAGATCTTGCGGGCTGACAAGCTTGCCTTCTCCAAGTTGTCGGAGGCAGGTGAGGACATCCGGGCAGATGCTTCAGGTACTCTCCCGCTTGATGCCGCGATCGGGGCTATCCTTCACGATTATGACCTAATTGTAGCTCTCCTGCCTATGGGTGATTTGGATGGTAAGGGCAAGAATGCTAATGGACGCGGTGGGCGCCCGGGTCCTTACAGCGATAATGCGCCCTGGAAGGGGAAGAATGGCAAAGGTAAAGGCGGTTGGAACTCCAAGGGCTCTGATAGTTGGACAGGGAAAGGCAAAAACACCTGGCAGGCCAAGGGCAAGTCGCCCAAGGGCAAAGGCTCTGGAGCCGGGAAACCGGAATGGTTGCCTGAGGGACTTCGCTTCCAGGGAGCATCTGCGTGGAATAATAAAGGCAACAAGGTCTGTTACGGTTTCAACCTCGGGACATGTTCGGATGCGAACTGCCAGAAGGGCGATCACACTTGCTGCATCTTTAAGTGCGGTGGCGATCACCCGGTGGGGAAGTGCCCCTTGAAGCCCAAGAAGCTGTGACTAGCGGCTCCGCCGCCTTGCACCGCCGCCTTGGCGTCGGACGCGGAGATGACACCTTCGGAAGAACCCGTTTCCGGTGCCATCTCTGTAGCTGATGTCACGGCCTCGGCCTCACCGCCTGTTGGAGTGGGAGTGGACCCTGCTTCAGAGATGGTAGATGTCGACGATTCTCCGATTTTTGTAGAACCTCCAGTTTTGGATCCCCCTACGATGCCGAGTACTTCGTCTGAGTCTTTTGCTTTGGAGCGCACAGGGAGCGAGGGGGCCCTCCCCTCACCTCCCGTGGCATCGGAGGACTTTTCTCCGGCACCGCCTACTCAGGAGCCGGCCAGAGCCGTTTTGCAGTGCTTTGCAGGTCAAGCTCGTGTGGCTTCGGCCTTGTGATTAAGCAGGGCTATTTTTCCTATGGAGTGGATCGATTCAAGCAGAAGGCGGCCATGGCCCCAGTGCTTCAGATGGACTTGTCGACGCGGGAGGCGTGTGACTCTGTCCTAACATGGCTTGACAACCGGAAGATCGCGGGTGTTATGATATGTATTCCTAAACACGCCTCGGAGCCTGTTACTACGGCTTTCGTCCTGGCAGTGATGGCAGGGTGCTTGAGCAACAACCTGCCCATGGTTCTTGAGGGTTCGGTGTCTTCCCCCTTTTGGGAGAGTTTCAATCGTTTACCATCAGCACAGCACCCTCCGCATAGAGTGGAGGTGGATTGGCAGCTTTGGGACTCACATAGCAAGCAGCGCAGCCTCGTGTGGTCTAATTTGCCCGAAATCCTCACTGTGCGCAGGGAGGCGGCACCTATGGGACATAAGGTGCAGCAGCGATCGGAGGCGCAGACAGGTTATCCGCCGGCTTTTGCCACGGCGATAGCTGAGGTGTTCATTGCAGGTTTGACTTAGCGACAGCTGCCATGCCGCAGCCGGGCCTTAGCCAACAAATCGCTGCGAGTTTCGGCTATGAATCAGCCACGTGGGGCGATGCCGGAAGTGGTGTCTGAGTGGAAGTTGGTGGTTTATGTCCTTCTGCCACCGCAGGTTGAGGACCCGTTTGGCGGGTCGAAACGCCTCAAACAGGACTGGCGAGTCCCGCACGGCGCCCGCGTGTTGCCGGAGCTCAAGCTGCTCCCGCAGGATTCCCAGCTTCTGTCGCGTACTCAGTCAGGGGGGCAATTGAGCCCGCAACTTCAGCAGGAAATGCAAAACTTGAATGGAGCCTCAGTTTTGCGAGTGGGCATCCCATGGGATCCCATTGAATTCATTGCTAAAGCAGGTAAGATTGGACACCCATACCATAAGTTATCCAAGTGCAACAAGGATCTCAGAGACCTCGTTCATGACTTAGTACACAAACCGGGACCGGTTCGTTCTCAGAGGAAGAATTACATCGAGAAGTGGGCAAGAAGAGCCAAAGAGTTGGAACCAGAGGAAACCAAGCTGAAAGCTGGCATGTCGGATCACAGAAGGAAGATCCTTCAACCCAAACGTATCTTGCTATTTGAAGAGATGCTACGAGACATTGGGTATGACGATATGGGTGTGGTTCGGGAGCTCATCGACGGAGCCACGCTGACGGGGGACATTCCTATCACTGGGGTGCTGGATACCAAGCTCAAGCCTGCTAGGTTGGATACTGAACAACTTATAGGGATGTCTGATGAAATCAGACAGCAGATCCGGGTGAAGACTGGGTCGTCGGGTGATAAGGAAATCGACCAGCTGTTGTGGGATAAGACGATGGAAGAGGTACAGAGTGGATACCTCTCAGGACCTTACGATTTCGAGTCATTGCCGAAAAGACGTTTGGTCAGCTCCCGTTTTCCGTTGCTACAAGGGGAGAAGCTGCGACCAATTGACAACTACTCATCGAGTTTGATTAACGACACGGTCACAGTATCTGAAAAGCCTATCACGCACTCTATCGCTGAAATTGCATTGCTGATAAATACGCTTTCGAGTGCTGCCCGAAAGAAGAACCTGAACGCATTGTACGGGAAAACGGCGGATCTGAAGGGAGCTTACAGACAATTGGCGGTATCTGATACAAGCTTAGATTTTTCTTACCTCTCGGTCTACGACCCGGCAGAGGAGAAGCCCAAGTTGTTCCAACAACTAGCTGTGCCCTTCGGCTCAACCAAGGCCGTGTATTTTTTCCTCAGAGTGGCGAGAGCTCTTTGGACTATCTTGGTCAAAGGGGCCAGAACCCCGACCACGAATTATTTCGACGACTTTGTTCTGCTCGCTCTTGGAGGAGATAGGAGTTCGTGTTCGCATGCTTTCGATGAAGTTATGAGGCTGCTAGGTTGGAAGCTGTCAGCTGATAAGACGACAGAGTGGAACACTAGCTTCGAGGCCCTTGGCGTCCTTTTCGAGCTTGACCAGACAGGGTCGGGAGTTCTGAAGGTCAGGAACACTGAGAAACGACGAAAGGAACTTACTGCTGCGATCAAAGGTTTCCTGGACAAGGGAACCATGACTCAGAAGGAAGCGCTACAACTGCGGGGTAGGCTGCAGTTTGCTCAAGCCCAGTTTTTCGGTAGGCTGGGAAGAAGGTGCCTTACGGAGGTGACAAAGCATGCCTACACTGGCAGGTCGAAGCTTTCGTCGATTGCCAAGGAACGACTTGAAGAGTTTGGTAAGTTCCTTGACATGGCCCAACCGAGGTTAGTGGGACAAGTTTCATGCAGGACTTTTATGATCCTGACCGATGCGGCGTTTGAAACGGAGTCAGGAACTGGAGGCCTGGGGGGCGTCCTTCTCACCGGGTCAGGCTCGGCACTCTCTTTCTTCAGCGTGCCGATCTCAGAGCAGCAAGCCAAGTCTATGTCGTTGCAAGATGAGCATACCATCATATACGAGCTCGAAATGTTCGGGGTCTTGATCGGTCTCAAGCTCTTGGTCGAAAAGACAGCTGCTTTCGCAGAATCATACGAACAGCCAGGTGCTGTTGCTGGAACTGGAGTGATTTGTTATATCGATAATGATGCTGCGAGACATGCATACATCGCCGGCTCTTCGAAGACAGGGGTTGCTGGGATTCTTATCGATGAAGTCAATTTCCTGGAGTATGTCCACGGCATCTTGCCGTGGTATGCGAGAGTGGCATCACCCGCCAATCTGGCTGATGAACCATCGAGGATGAAACTTGATAGAGTCAAGAGGCTAGGATTCAAAGACGAGTCCGTCGAGGCGACCAAAGCGGTGTTATCAATTGTGAAGAGAGTTTCGAATCTGCCTGCTTAACACTGCGACTCCTGAAAGTGGGGACGAAAAGAATCTTGTGTCTCACAGGACCGACAGGTTCGAAGATTTCTGCCGTGTGCGGTACTTGCTACCCCACCGTGTGAAAATAGCGTTGAGCTTGAACTCTCTGCATGCGACATGTGCGAGTGCAAGCATTCATACCTGGAGGTTCAAACACAATTGACATACAATCGACATCTTAATACAAAGCACGATCTTTGAACAGTAAGTTTCGTTCTTTGAACACTTGCAGAAGATAGAGCTTTATTGTTCAAAGAAAAACAACATGACAAAATGACTTAGAGAACTAAGTCCAATTTTGATTTGTTGTTTTAGGGTTTTCCTTTTACACTGCCCATTTTATTTCTACCCATTTATACATGCTGTAAACCAGTTGAAGAATACATTCGTCCGTTGCAGCTTGACCTCTCGAAGGGCCAGGAAGCCCTGAATCGGGCGAGAGTTTTATTTGAAATACCCACCCTCTCCACCCTAATTGATTCGTGGAAAGTGCAGAGATTGCATCAGTGTTGTGCTACCTCAGGAAGCTTTGGACCTCAGTTTGAGGACACTCAGGTATGCTTTGTGTATAAGACCTGGTTCGGGTCTTGGCTCTCTGCTTCGCAGTTTGCTCGGTCTTGCTCGTCTTCGACTGGCAGGCCGTTCACTAAGGTTCAGTTTGTGAGCCGTGCACGGCTTGAGAGTGGCTAGTTCTCCTTTCGGAGGGGACGAAAAGAGTCTTGTGTCTCACAGGACCGACAGTTCGAAGATTTCTGCCGTGTGCGGTACTTGCTACCCCACCGTGTGAAAATAGCGTTGAGCTTGAACTCTCTGCATGCGACATGTGCGAGTGCAAGCATTCATACCTGGAGGTTCAAACACAATTGACATACAATCGACATCTTAATACAAAGCACGATCTTTGAACAATAAGACATGTGAAAACCCTAAGCCCGCAACCCTGAATCAAAACACTTACAGTCTGGGCTCAGACCCAGACCTTGAAGGGTACTTGGAGGATCATGGGACTTAGTAAGTAAGGTAACCTTAATTGGGGTTATAAGTAGTTATAAGTACAGTTACCCTAGTTACTAAGTCCCATGATCCTTTAAGTAGTTGCCAGGGTGTGGGCCAGTTGTTTCCAGATGCTGCTTTGACGAAGTAAAAGGCTTCAAGTGACCATGATAACGACAGTCTGTTATTTCTTAGTTGTAGATCCCCATTCTGGAAACTGAAAACTAAGCTTGTCAAACAGGAGCCAGACTAGCATTTGTGAGTTTCTGCTGAAGTGTTGTGAACCTTAACCCTAAACTCTTAACCCTAAACCGGTTCTGGCGAGAGGTCGTCCAGCTGAACTTGGAGCAGTCGGTGGGTGAAGCGGGGCCGATCATGTTCCCAGACTTTTCCGATATGTCTGAGTGGGGGACCCGGTGGAATGGGGGGGCTCCGTGGTGCACCTTAACCACCTTGACCCTAGACCCTATTCCCTAAAGCCCTAAGCCCTAAACCCGTAACCACCATAAACTTGTGCACGGCTACGGTCCTGAACCGCCGCTACGCCCCTTGTGATGCGGTTTCGAGTTTAGGAGTCTAGGAGTGTTTCGGGTTCGGGGCCATTTAGGGCTTAAGGATGAGATTCTAACGTTTCTGGGTTCCATTGTTCTTCGTTTGGAGGTGGCTTCTCCAGATTGGTATCCTTCTGTAGGGTCATTGCTGCAAGCGTGATGCCTCCTTTTGATTTTGCGGATCTCAAAAGGGGCC